AAGCTACCGTTTTTATCTATAAAATGTAACTTCTTTAACTCCCAAATGGATTCAACTCAGAATACCTCACACAAGGCAGACCTCTCTGGATTTCCCTCCCCATCACGAAAATGGGTAAACCCCGAAGAGAGGACAAAACACCCGGCCAAGCCCCCTCTAGGTCTCTGCTCAACTGGTAGCCCCTCCCCCACAACCTGGCACAAGATTCTCAGCTTCCTCCGTCAGGAGAGCTCCCTTCCTTCAGCAACAGGTTTTCAGGCTGCCTGTGTTTTCTCTTGCTGGGGGGAGGGCCTGGTCTGAGATCGGGGATAATCGGACCTGATGCCCAAAACACTCTTGGCCCGAGCTCTTCTGAAGGGTGCCGTGGGCAGCCCCTCCCATTTCCCACCCCCTTCACTGGAAGATGCGTTTGGACTGTCTCCTGACTGCAAGAGACTCTTGGATAAGAGTACAGTGTTTAATCTTGAATGCAGCGCTGCACATGGGAAGGGAAGGAAAGCGCCGACCAGCCCCCCCGCCCTTAGCAGTCAACAGCAGACTGGGAGGGGGAGTGCACAGTAGTCACAGGCAGGGTTCTGCTCCAAAGAGAACCTAGTCACCTGCACAAATTGTACCTAGGATTTGGAAAGGGCTCGAGTAAGGGACTGGGAGTTGGCTCTTGGCCCAAGTGGGTGTCACTGTGCAAATTCTAAAGTTGGTCCCTTAGGATTGGCAGCAGGGAATTCAGTCTGTAACCACAACCACCCCACCGAGTGGATTACAGGAACCCAGTGGAGAGCCGGTTCCCAACAATGAGGTTCATTTTAAAAAGTCCTGTGGGGGAGGACGGGGAGGAAAGAAATAGATCAAAGGGCGAGAAAGCAGAAAAGAGAAGGAAGAGGAGTCGGGGAACTGCGCCCTGCGCGGCCTGGTGGAGCTTGGCAAAGTGCAAGGGAGGGAAGGAGGCTGAAAATTCAAAACTTTTTGATGTTGCTCTTCAGCTCCTGCGCGTCCCTGCACCCCAGCCCTGCAGCCCTGGGGCCTTGGCAAGCTGTGCCGACAAGGGCAGCAAGCTGGGAAAGGAGAGCAACATGACCCGACGTGTTTAAGAGAAGGCAAAACACTTCAGCAATTAAAAGTAGCCTAGCAGCTTTATCCTTTCAAACTGGGGGGACAGGGCTGGGAAAACATCTAACATCCACAGACAGGCTTTTGTTATGTACATTTCAAACCCTCCCCTAAAACCTTCCGGGTTTAAAAATGCACTCCTAGAACATTCTGGGTTTAAAAGTTGTTTTTTCAACACCGGCTGGCAAGCTATCCGGTTTAAGGAGGCCTCTATTAAATCCTTACAGTCGGAGATTCTGGAGCTCAGGCAACATTTCGTCCCCTAGCCCCCGATTGATGACCCACCGCGCCTCGCAACACAGGTAAGTTGGTCAAGCCCACTTTGACCTAAAGTTCGCGGCGCTGCCGGCCCCCGCGCAGGAAGGCAACTGGGACGCGGCGGTCACCAACCAGCCCCACTGCAAGCTCGCTCTGCGACATCTTTCTCAATCACAACCCTCGACCTTTTTCCTCCTCGCAAATCCCCGGCTCCCCAAAAGCAGAGGGAGAAATCTGCCAGTGTGACATGGTCCCGAGATTGGCTTCCTCGACAAACTCCCCCCGAAACACCAGCGCCACAGGCCGGCAGTGGCGCTAGGCAGACTCTAACCCAAGCGCACACACCCAGGGCGCACACGGGAGAACCGAGGGGACCAGCGAACCCTGGCTCAAGCAGCATATTAAGTACGAAAAAGTCTCCCCAAACTTGCCCCACACTCCTGACCGCTCCACCTGGCAGACCTCGCCCCCCAAAACTCTGCTACCCAGATTCACACGTACACCCGTCAGGAACTGTGGACACTCCAAGGGTGCGGAGGACAGGGCCAAATTCCTTCAAACTGAGTGGAAAATGCGGGAGAAAAGAACCATCTCCCTTCACTCTCCTCTTATCCTCTGCTTCCCAAGACCCAGACTTTCAGGTGGTTCTTTTTTTAAGCAAGAAAAAAGGGCTTTTTGAAAAGCAAACGCTCCGCCTCACTTTACCTTGCATAAAACTTCGCTCAAGTCGAAGATGGTGGCAGACACGAGGGTGGTGGTCATCGTGGGCGCTCGCACGGGGCAGGGCGAGGACGTGGTGCGTCGCGAAGGTCCCGGTGCGGGGAAGGCGCAGCCTCCGGCTCTCCGCTCTGGAGTCCCACACGCCTGTTCCTGGCGCCCCTCGCCTTTCTGACTCTCCCGGGCTGCGGCGCGCAAAGCCCAATTTATAGTTCCAGATTTTTTTTTTTTTTTTTTTTTTTTTTTTTTGTGGGCTGGGGAGAGGAGGAGCTTTAAACTTTATTTAAATAAGGAACAGGAGAAAAAAAGTTGATTGACACGGAGGTTGAATCAGCCATGCGGTCAAGGGGGAGGGAAGGAGGGGAGAAACTTTCAAAAGGAAGAGGGGGGAGGGGAGACGAGGAAAGAAGGCGGAAAAAAAACCACTCCGGGCAGCGCACAACTTTTTTTTTTCTTAAAGAGGAAAAGTTTCGAGTGCCCCGCGCTGCGGGCTCCCCTCCCGGAGCCGCGCGGCGCAGAGGGGGAGGGCCCCCCTTTGTCAGCCTCGCCGCGCGGCCCCGTGACATCACTCATTCCACCCCCTTCGGGGTGCTTGTTGTGTTGTTTTTTTGTCGGGCAGGAAGGCGGGCTCGACTTTCTCTTTTTGCTAGCAGGAGCTGGATCTTGTCCTGTTGCGCCCGGGCTGCGGTTTCCATCTTGAGCTACTCTCCCTTCAAACTTCCCCAAGTTCCCGCACAACTCACCTTTCCCTGACTTCTTCGTCGACACTCGCCCCCCCTCTGCAAGCCGGGCTGGGCAAGCAGATTGGAAATTTGGAGCTCCCCAAACGTTCAAGTCTAGAATTTTATGTTTCCTCTCAGCGGGCCGAGGGAAGGGGAAGGAGCAGAGAAACTTCCCCACCCCACCCCATCCCGACTTAGCCTGGCGGGGGCGAGCACAGCCCGGTTGAGCGCAGCACGCGTCTACACTCACGCCCGCCCGGCCGCCTGCGCTCTCCGGGTGTGGACCGGGGAGGGGGGAGACCACGGCCCGGGCAGATTAGGTGTGGCGCTTTTTTCACGTATCCAATCTTCATAAACTTCAGTACAGAAAACTTTGAATCTTTCATGGAAGTCCCTCCCTCCGCCCCGCAAATCAAAGAAACAACCCACTGAGCAACGATCCACTTTCCATGCGAGCTTTGAATTATGGGCAGCGCCCCCCCAACTCACGCACACACAGAACCACGAACAAAAGTTACTACGGTGAGAGTGAAGGTAAATAAGTGGGGGAGGCAACACTCCTAACGTATTGTTGCCAGTCGCTCGCCTCTACGAGAACGGAACATATGGTTGGTCACCATGCGATGTTTTGGGGGGGGGGGTGGCGGCGGCATGGGATCCCCAATACTGAGGGGCCCACAGTGAATTACGACTCCCTTAAAAAACGATGAAGTACGCCTTTATTCCCTGTTAGGTCGCCCCCCCCCCCGTCCGCCCAAACCCAAAGTTGCGGACGCGTCCCCCGGCCCTCCCCGCGCCTCAGCCCTGGCGCTGCGGTGTAGACCCGGACGGAAGTCGCGGGCCGGGCTCGCGCGCTGCTTCCCAGCACTCCCGGCCGCCGGGTGTTATGAAACCGGTGCGCCGAGCGCTGCAAGCGAGTTCCATTGCGATGTAATTAGGTCACCCCATTATGAGCACGTTTCTTTGGAAAGGCCGAGGCAGGCGGAGCAGTGCCCCAGTCCCACCCCCCCACCCCCCCGGCTTTTTACTGCATTTCTTATTTATTCGTCAACTCCGGGCAAACCCAGAAAAACCTTCCAAGTCACAACTGTTTAAGGAACCGGGTACTTCATTTTAACTTTGCGAAACACACTTTTGCTGTACCCACGAACCTACGTGCTCTCTCCCAGCAGGGTTTGCTTTTGTCCCCTCTGACTTCAATTGATGGCCCCCATTTTAACGCAGCCGCTGCCTCCTGGCTTCTTCTGCCGCTGCCTCCAGCTGCCTGTTGCTTCTTCCCACCCCCTGCTCCTATTTTTCATCTCTTGAAATCTGGCAAGCGCCAGAAAGGGAAATAACTTCCATCCACCTTAATTTAAGTCATTCAAGTGTATAGGTTTCTTTCTTAGAGCCATGTTTGCTCGTTTTCTCCCCAGCTTCAAGAAGGGGGTGTCTGGAGGTGGGGGGCTTAGTGCAGTTTCTTGATCATGAGGTAATGAGTTCCAGATTTCAGGACAGAGCGGGGTGCGCGTTAAAGCCGCAAGGTTAGTCTGAGCTCTGATGTGAAGCTATTTCGGTCTCCCCCCCTCATCCACCCCTAAAGAGGGGTCGGCTGGTCTTTAACTCCGGAGGGTTTGCCGAGCTAAATGGGGAGATCAGAGGGGGACCCCGGCCGGTCCCCGCGGGCCAAGACCACCATCCCGGGCCTCAGCGCCCCAGGCTGGCTAAAAAGTGGGTTTTCCAGAAAGAAAAAGCGATTCCTCGAATTTCCTCCGCCAGTCCAACTCCCGCCCCCCCCCCCTTTCCTTCGCTCCCCAGGGCCCGGCCGGCTCCCTTCGAGTTGTTTACCAGCCCCGCCGACCGCCGGGTTTGTTCCAGCTCCCCGAGCCTGGCTCTATAATTAAACCCTTTTTTTTAATTGTCGGGCTGAGACGTCATTTCAGGGACTTTCCAAGGGTGAGGGGGCCGAGGGGAGGGAGCGAGCGTCTTAACCCTTCGCACACCCAGTCCCGTGCTGCGACACAGGTGGGAGGCGGGAACGGCCCAGTCGCCGGCCGCCCCGGACACCTTGCTCGCCCGCGCGCCCCTCCACCTGCGTGTGCGCGCGCGCCCCCGCCCGCAGGCCCGGCCGCCCGACTTCCGGCGCTGCCATTCGCCGGGAGCGAGGCCCGCGGGGCGGGGCCCGGCCAGGTACGCGGGATGGGGGTGGGGTGGGGCTGTTAGGTTTTGTAAAAGGGGAAAAGTGAAAGCCCTCGGGAGGAAGGAGGCGCGGCGGATCGATTCTTCCGCCGACCCGGATCCCGCGCACCTCCCGGCAGGTGAGAAAGTGGAGCGCGGGGCCGCGGCCCCCCAAGCCGCCCGGCCTGGTCACCCGCGCCGGCTGAGGCGCCGCCTCCCCTGGATCCCTGCGGTGTTGCACTTCCTCCAGGTTCCAGGTCATTTGCAGAATCCCCCAAATTCTTCTGATTGGGACCTGCCCTCCCCCCAGCCTTCGCTACCTGAGACCCTGGAGCAGCCTCAGGTTCCCTGGGTTTAGAGAGGGGGAAGTCGAGCTGAGTGGAGCCTCTGGTCACCTGGTTTAGAGTTACTTGTAGTGTTTGTGCAGTCCAGATTCCTTGGCCTGGACCCAGGCCCAGTGAATCGAGCTCCTGGGTGGGGCCAGGAATCTGCATTTTTGGGTAACTTTCCTGCTAGTGACTCAGAACACTTAAGGTTCAGGAATCAGTGATTGCCCCAGGACACTGAAGTTGGGCGTCCTCCATCCAAATCTTGGCCATGCCATTTTTTAGCAGTCTAGTTTTTTGGTTTGGTTTGGTTTTGTCGGGTTTTTTTGTTTTGTTTTTAAGATGAGGTCTCACTATGTTGCCCAGGCTGGCCTCGAACTCCTGGGCTCATGTGAACCTGACGAAGGGACGGGTCAGGGTGGGTACTTGTCGCTTAACTGAAAAATACCTGATTATTGTTGCTGGGGTCCTGTGGAGAGACAGTAGAAGCCACAGCCTCCTGTCTCTGGAAGTCCTAAGCCCTTCAGAGCACTTAATGGGAGCATTCAGCATCCTCCATAACCAGGAGGCCTTGGGCAGTTTAGGGCCCACTGCCAGTGCTGCTGAGTGGTGTTTGGACCTGCAGAGAACCTCCCGTAGTAGGCCGCCTCCTGCTGGGAAGACTGAGACCCCAACCTCAGGTGGGGGATGTCCCTTCTTTGCTCTCTGCCACAGGTGGGAGTTTTACTCCTGTCACTTATTTCAAGACCTTCCCCCGCAGAGGTGTCCCACAGTTAAGACCCCAGGGTAGTCCACGACTGCACCTACAGCACCCTGAAGCCCAGGCCTGCCTAGAGCTGCTCCTTACTTTCGCTTATCCCACCCCTCCAGGGCACTCTGTGCTCCCGTTTTAGAGGGAAATGAACCATCTTCCTCCTGCCCCAGGGACTTTGTACAAGCAGATTCTGTCTGAAATGTACTTATCTTTTGCCCAAGAAAATTCTAAATCTTTAGAACTCAGCCCCAACATCACTTCCTTAAACATTCTTAACAACCACCTACCCCACCAAGACAAGGTATGTATCCTCTCTCCAGTCTCATGGAATGTTCCTTTCCTTGTCATCTCAGTTTGTGAGTACACATTCCTTTATAACTTTGTTTTACTGTTTGACATACTATAAAATTGACCCTGATTTGGTGTACAGATCTATGAATGTTAGCATGTGAATAGATTCGTACAATAGCCACCGTAATCAGGAAACAGTTTCATCATCTCCCTCCAAAATCTCCCTTCTACTGTCTCTTTATAGTCCCACTTTACCCCACCCCGATCCCTGGCTGCTACTGCTCTGTTCTCTATCACTGTATTTTGTCTTTTCCAGGATGTCATATAAATGGAATCATACATTTTATGATTTCACACAACATAATGTCTTTGCGCTTTATCCATATTGTTGCAGTTATCATTAGTTCATTCCTTTTGTTAATAAATTGTATTTCACTATACATGCAAACAATAAGTTTGTTTATCTATTCATGTATTGAAAGACATTGGATTTTTTTCCAGCTTTGGGCCATTATGAATAGAACTGCCATGAACTTTCATGTATAGGTTTTTGTGTAAACATAAGTTCTTATTTGTCTGGGGTAAATAAGTAGGAGTGAGATTTCTAGGTCATATGGTAAGTCTATGTTAAAAATTAATTTTAAGGGCCGGGGATTTAGCTCAGTGCTTCCGGCGCCTGCCTTGCAAGCGCAAGGTCCCGAGTTCGATCCCTGGTACCAAAAAAAAAAAATTAATTAATTTTAAAACCGTCAAACTATTTTCACCATTTTGCATGTCCATCAGAAGTATGAGAGTTTCCAGTTGTTCTACATCCTGGGTACTTAAAATTGTTATGATTTTCAATTTTAATCATTCTAATAGGTATGTAATGATATTGTGGTTTTAATTTGTATTTCTCTAATAGCTAATGATGTTTAATGTCACTTCATGTGTTTGCTGTCTGCACATCCTCTTTGGTGAAGTCTTTTCAAGTCTTTTGTTTGTTTTTATAGTTGGATCATCTATTTTCTTACTGTTGAGTTTTAAGAGTTCTTTATATATTCTGGATACAGTTCTTTTGTCAGATTTGCAATGTGATTTGCAGATAGAGTCTTCACTTTCTTTTCGTTTTTGGAACAGTGTCTTTCACAGTGCAAAAGTCTTTCATTTTAGTAAAGTAATGTATCAGTTTTATCTTTTGTGGGTTATGCTTTTAATGTTAGAACTAAGGACTCTTTGCCTAACCCCAAGTCATTAAGATTTTCTGTTCTAAAACTTCTGTATAATTTGATGGTTTGTTGTTAGGTATGTAAATGTTTATAATTTTTTTTTTTTTACATGGATGTACAAAACTTTATTGCTGTAATCTATGCTAAGGAAAGTTTAATGGTCACCAAGCCAGTCCTTGTTTTCTTTAAAAACTCTGGGCAATTTACCAACTTTTCTAAATTGAGTGTGGACAGGCACTGTGAGTGTATAATTAATTTGGAAAACTACTGATATTGAGGGAGCCCAAAAAATACTTCAACAGAAAAACTATGCATTGCCTACATAAAGCACAACTTTTGAAGAGTTACATGGTTCTAGTTTTTCACTAAGCTATTTTTTAAAAATTTTTTCCCCATTAATTTTATTGGTACATTTTAGGTATAAAATACAGTTACATTCATAATTGGGATCTTGTACCATTACATGAGTCTCTTGGTTCTTATTTTTTTTCCCCTTCTCTTGCCCTCCCTTCCCTATTTGCAAAGACCTTGTTTCCATTTTTTTCCTCTTCTCATATTTTTTCCTTTCCCTTTTTTCCCTTCCCCTACCCCTCCCAATTCCCCTGCTCTTTTAGACCTTTTTTTCCTGTTACACAATATCAGTTATACATTTTTTAAATTACAATATTAAGATCTAGGAGACATTACCACAGATTTTACAGAATTTAAAAGGATATAGAAAGCATATTACAAAAATCTTTTTTGAAATAAATTTGACAACTTCTAAGAAGTAACTTAGAAGACAAATTAATGAAACTAACTCTGGAGGAAATATAAAATTTGAATAGCACCTATTAAAGAAAGTATATTCCTAGCTTGAAAACCTACCTATATGACAACAGCAGGCTCATAAACATTTTAACTGATAAATTATATCAAACATTTAAAGCAGAAAAAAGAAGGAACACTTCTCCCCTCATTTTAGGAAATCAACATTGTGCTAATCCTAAAACTGGATAAAGATAATAGAAGAAAAAAGTATGAACATAGAAATTTGTTTAACAAAACAAACTCTTAGAAGTCAGATCTGGCAGTATGTAGAAAGTGGTTTTATTATAGGGATGGCAGTGTTGGTTCAGCATTGGAAGATCCACCCCCAAAAGTAATCATAAATGTTTATAATTGTTCTTTTTGGTACATTGAACTTTTTTTTTTTTTTTTTTTTTTGGTACCGGGGATCAAACTCGGGTCCTTGCGCTTGTGCAGCAGGTAGTGAGCCCACTGAGCTAAATCCCCGGCCCGATTGAACATTTTATTATTACATAATTCCCTTTTATCTCCTTTAACCTTTTCTTTTTATTTTTTTTTTCTCTTTTTTTCTTGGTAGGTGGGGATGAACTCGGGACCTTGTGCTTGTAAGGCAGGCGGCGGAACCACTGAGCTAAATCCCTGGCTCCTTTAACCTTTTCTGACTGAAAGTCTTATTTAGTCTGTGCACTTTTAATTCCTATTTGCATGGAATATCTTCGTGTGTGTGTGTGTGCGCGCGCGCGCGCGTGCTTGAATCCAGGGCCTCCTGCATGCCGAACATATTTAGCACTAACCTACATCCCTGGGCCCTGAAATATCTTTTTCTAGTTTCACTTTCAATCGGATCTAAAGTGAGTCTCTTTTACACAGCATATAGTTGGATCATATTTTTTAATCTATTCCGATGTTCTGGGGTTTTTTGTTTGTTTCCTATATTGGCCCTTCATACTGTGCTACATCCCTAACCCTTTTTTATTTTTTATTTTGAGACAGGGTCTTGCCGTGTTGCTAAATTGCCCAGGCTAGGCTTGAACCTCCCTCCCTCCTACCTCAGCTTCCCTGAGTGCTGGGATTATAGGCATGAGCCATGATGCCTGGCTCCAATCTGTCTTTTGATTGAAGAGTTTAGTCCATTTACATTAGAATAATTACTGACTAACAGGGATTTCACTCTGTCATTTTGTTATTTGTTTTCTAGATGCCTATATTGATCCTCATTTTCCACATTACTATAGTAGCCACCCTGCCATCTGCCAGGTCTACAGTACCTTTCAAAACCCCCAGTGCATGCCTGAAACCACAGAGAGTACTAAATACCATGTATGCTATCTTTTTTCATATATATATAATATATATATATATCTAACTGTGATAAAGTTTAATTTATAAATTGGGCACAGTAAGAGATTAACACCAATAATAAAATAGAACAATTATAACAATATACTATCATACAATCATAACATCTCATAGTTACTTTTCTTGTGATGCTGTGAGATGACACAGTGCCCCTGTGATGAAATGAAGTGAGGTGAATGATATAGGCATTGTGATGTAATGTTAGGCTACTATGTAAGGGTTACTCTAACACAAGCATTGTGATACTGCCACAGTTGATCTGATAACCGAGATGGTTATTAAGTAACTAACAGGCAGGTAGCATATACAGGGTAGATACACTGGACAAAGGGATGATTCATGTCCTGCACAGAATAGACCCAGACAATGTGAGATTTCTTCATGCTACCCAGAACAGTGCACAATTTAAAGCAAATGAATTAACAATGGAATTTTTCTTTTTAATATCTTTGGACCATAGTTGACCACAGGCAACTGAAATTACAGAAAGCAAAACCACAGATAAGAGGGGACTATTGTATCTTCTTTTAAGTTTAATTGATCTCTGGTGAAATGCTTAAATTCCTTTCTCATTTCTGTAGCTATTTTCTTTGTGGTTACTATGGAAATTACAGTTAACATCCTAGAGTTCTAATACTCTTATTTCAGTGTATACCAGTCTTAACTTCAATAACATGCAAAAATTTTGTTATTTTGTAGCTTCAATCTACCTTTTTTATTGTTGCTAACAAATAATTGCATCTTTACATATTAGTTTATATATATAGTTTATATTGATATATAAACTGGTATGTCTTTTAAATGTGTCAGTCTCTTATGCAGAAAACAAAATGTGGAATTACAAGCCAAAGTTATAGTAATACTAACTTTTAGACCAATTTTTAATTAGTCTCTTAAAGCATATAGAAAACAAGTTGAGGATGTAGCTCATTGGTAGAGTGTATAATTGTATGAGGCCCTGGGTTCAATCCCAGCAAGCCCTAAAAATTATTTAAATCATACAGAAAACAAAAAGTTGAGTTACAAATTGTTATAATGCTACCTTTTTTTAATTGGCTATCTATTTACCTTTTTTCAAAGGTTCATTTCTTCATGTGATTTCAAGTTACTGACTAGTGTTTATTTTACTTTCAAAGCTAAATAAGTTTTTTGGGATTTTGGTTTTTTGTTTTTTAGAAACAGCATTTCACTGTGTTGCCCAGGCTGGCATCTAACTTCTGGGCTCAAGTGATCCATCTGCCTCAGCCTCCTAAGTAGCTGGTATGATAGACCCATGTCACTGTGCCCATCTCCCAAGCAATTTTTGAAGAACAGGTTTAGTGGTAATGAATTCCCTTAGCTTTTGTCTACCCAGATTTGCCCAATAGAGGATTCTTGTTGATGGAGTTTGGGGGTTTTGGTTTGGTTTTTTTATTTGTTTTGGTTTGGTTTGGTTTTTGGTGTTTGAAATCTTTAAATATATTGGCCTACTGCCTCTGTCTTCTACAATTTCTAATAAGAAACCTGATAATCTTATTAAGTATCCCTTGTTTGTGAGTTACTTCTCTTTTGTGGTTTTCAAGATTGCCTTTGGCTTTTTTAATTTAAATTTTTATTTTATTTTTTATTAGTGTATGTTTCCTATTTGTAGTATGTAATGTTTACATCCATTGTAAAGAGTCAGCAGGGGATTTAGCTCAGTGGCACCTCACCTGTCTCACAAGCACAAGGTCTTGAGTTCGATCCCTGGTACCAAAAGAAAAAAAGCTACTTGGGGATGTAGCTCAGTGGCACTGCGCCTCCCTGGCAAGTGCAAAGTCCTGAGTTCAATCCCTGGTACCCCAAAAGGGAAAAAAAAAGTAAGCACATGTACTTAACATATCGTAATTCTTTTTATTTCCCTTTCCCTCCCTTACTCCCTTGACTTTGGCTTTTCAGAGTCCACCCCACCCCGCAACCCCACACTGGGGATTGAACTTAGGACCTTGTACTTGCAAGGCAGGTGCAGTGCCACTGAGCTAAATCCCTGGACCTGGGTTTTCAGAATTTGATTCTAATGTGTTTGGTTGTGGGTCCCTGCCTTCGTCTTACCTGGACTTCACTGAGCTGCTTTGATCTTTATATTCATGTCTTTATCAACCTTGGAGCTTTTCAGGCAATATTTCTTCATATATTCTCTCTGCCCCTTTCTCTTTCTCCTCCTTCCGAGACTCATAGAATGTGTGTGTTGATTCACTTGATGGTGTCCCATAGGCCCATTAGACTTTGTTCACTTTTCTTCTATCTGTTTTTTCAGACTTGGTCATTTCTATCATCTAATCTTCAAGTTTGCCAATTCTGCCTTCTAATCCCTCAAAACTATCTTTGAATACCACTAGTGACTTTTCATTTTAATGTACTCTTCGGTTCCATAATCTCCTTCTTGTCTCTCTTAATATTTGTTGTGTTTGTACTTCATTTTCTTTTGACTCTGTCCACACCTTTTGAGTTCTCTGCACATCTCTAAGACAGTTGCTTTAAAGTCTTTGTCTAATAGATCTGCCTTCAGGCCTTTTTGTTTTTTAATAGGCCATGCTTTTTCTATTGTATTTCTTGGAGTTGTGTTGTTGTTGTTGTTGAAAACTAGACATTTCAATTTAATAATATGATAGCTAGAAATCAGATTCTCCTTCGCCAAGGTTTAATGGTTTCTGTTACTGTTTTTTGTTTGGATTTTGGTTGTAGGCTATAGGCTGTTTGTATGCTGAAGATCAGCCTGAGGTATAAACCTCAAGTCTTCTCAGTGCCCCCCCCCAACCTCCCCATAGCCTTTCCCTCAGCATATGCAGGTACTTTCTAATTTTCCTTATATAATGCAAATATGTGGTTGTTTTTTAATATTCTTTAATGTCTTGCTGTCAACAGTGGTGGAAAAGAGAGAAATGAATGAGGAAGGAATAAGAAAAGGCTCTGCCTCTTTAAGTTCCATGGAAGTCACTTCAGCTGGAGGGAGACATGCTTGAACAATGGGAAGAGGTGCAACAACTATGGCCTCTTCAGCACCATGTACACTTTTGTGATCAGAATTAAGCATCAGAGCACAGATCCTGATATTTGGAAGACAGGATCCTTTTGGCCCCTGGCTCCCACAAGCTGTGTGCAAGCTGCTCCAGGAATGTGCACAGCTGTTGCCACAGGGCTGGTGGTGGAGGGTGGGTAGCTGCTACTGTGCTAAAAGCTGAAATTAAGCAAAACTAACAGTGTATGTCCCAGCCTTCCCCTGGAAGGTCCAAGCCTTCAATAGTCTCCAGACTCCAAAAGAGTTAATCAGACATGTTCTGCTAGTACAATTCTTATCTTTCAGGGGAGACAAATTCCTAGGCTTCCATGTTCCTAAGAAACCTCCCCTAAAATTGGGTGCTTCCTACTCTGTTACCTTCCCAAGTCCTCTTCTAATGCTTTTATGTTTTCACATGTATTTCTGTGGGCTAGGGATTTAGCTCAGTGGTGCCGCTGCCTGCCTCGAAAGCGCAAGGTCCTGAGTTCGATCCCAGGTACCAAAAAACAAACAAAAAAATACATGTATATCTGTGATCCATTTTGAGTTAATTTTTATATAAAATGTGAGATGTATATTCAGGTTCATAATTTTTTGGTTGTGGATGTTCAATTCCAGCACTGTTTGTTGAAGTCTTTCATTTCATTTCTCCATTAAATTTTCTTCCTGTCTAAAATTCAAATGACCATACTTGCATAGACCTCTTTATTCTGTTCTGTTGATCTGTGTGTCTGTCCATCCTTTCAACAATACCAATACTGTAACTATATAGTAAATTTTAAACTAAGTGGTATCATTCCTTTGAGTTTTTTCTTACTTTTTAAAAATTATTATAGGTAGTCTAGTTTTTTTTGCCTTTTTATATAAATTTCAAAATCAGATTTTCTAGTTCTACCAAAAAAAAAAAATCCTCAGCCGGGGATTTAGCTCAGTGGTTCCGTCGCCTGCCTTGCAAGAGTAAGGCCCCAAGTTCGATCCCCGATACCAAATAAATAAATAAATAAATAGAACTCCTATAAGCTGATCTGCTTGTGCATTGCCATACAAAAGTGGTCCAGGAAGATTGGTATGTGATCAAATATTTCCAATACAAAAAAAAAAAATCCTCTTGGGGGCTGTGGATATAGCTGAGTGGTAGGGCATGGCATGTACAAGGCCTTGAATTTGATCTCCAGCACAACACAGGGAAAAAAATCCTGCTGAGATTTTTATTGGAAATGCATTAATTCAATTCAGGGAAAAATGACATTTTTATTACATTGAGTCTTCTAATCTATGAACATGATATGTCTTTATTTAGGCCTTCTTTGATGATTTGGGGGAGAATGACCCCAGGGCCTCGTGCATTTTAAGCACAGACTCTGCAACTGAGCTAAAACCCCAGCCCCTCTTTGATTTCTTTAGTCAGTGTTTTATAGCTTTTAGTATTTAGAGTTTATATATAGTATTAGGTTTATACCTCATATTTCCTATTTTTAGGAACTATTTTTTTTAACCCAGGGCCTTTGCACTGAGTTACATCCCTAGCCTTTAAAAAAAATTATTTTGAATCAAGATTTTGCCAAATTAGTAAATTGCTCAAGCTGGGCTGGAATTTGCAGTCCTCCTGCCTCAGCCTCCGAGAATGCTGTGATTTCAGTCATGTGCTACGACACCCAGCATACTATAATTTTTTTTTTAATCTTGGTTTCCAATTGTTCATTTTTGAGTTTATAGAAATACAGTTGATTATTGTCTTTTGTCTCCTTTGATCTTATAAGAGCCACTTAAGTTGTATAAGGGCCTTTTGGTAGATTCCTTGGGAATTTTTTTTTTTTTGGTACTGGGGATCGAACTCGGGACCTTGCGCTTGTGAGGCAGGCGCCGGAACCACTGAGCTAAATATCCAGCCCTCCTTGGGAATTTTGATGTTGTTATTTTTAACGTAGACAAGTATGTTATCTGCAAACAGATATAACTTAATTTCTTTTTAACTTTATTCATTATGGATGTTGAATAAGTATAGTAAGTAAATGCCCTCTCTGTTCCCAGTCCTAGGGGAAAAACATTCTGTCTTGCACCATTAAATTAAATATGATACATTGCCAGTTTTTTGTATTCATTTAACTTTTTAACATCTCTCTTTCAACCAGGACATATGCTTAATGAAAACGGGACCACTCTGTTCCCAATTCAACCCATGGTGCTTGGCATTGTGCCCAGCACATACTAGGTCTTCAATAAGTACTCACAGGGAAGAAAAAAAGATGTAATAATTGTTTACTCTGTTAACTTAGCCAGCTACAGCCACTGTCCTATGTGACAGACAACAGAGGACTTGGCAGAACATGCACAGACATCATGAAAAATAATCTTACAATAAATATCCCAGCAGATCCAGCTAGGCATTGGCCCCATAGAGTTGATTATTTTAAGCTCCAGAGCATTTATAGATCAGCTTTCTAGCAAGCCTTACTATGTCAAAGCATTTATCTATGAGAAATAGATGACTGCAGTAAAATAATTATTTTAGCTCGAGAGCATTCCATTCCTAAAGGGAATTTAAACAAAAAGCTCTCCACTCTGAAAAACAGGGGCTTTCTGAGTAAAGAATCCCACTGCTGTGAAATCTTGGGCCCTCAGCTGGGTGGGGTTGTTTTGCTAAATTTATTTCAGCCACTTATGGAAACAGAAGGGGAAAGGGGGGTGGGGGTGGCTACGTGCTCACCCATGCTGGTTCTGGAGTATTAATATCTGCTAGGCCCAGCTTTTATTTAAGTTTTGTTTTACTTTGAGGGGCTAGAGAAGCAGGCAGGCAGGCAGGCAGCAGGAATATCTTGCAACTTCTGAGCTGCAGTTTCTACCTGTCTCCCTAAATATTTCCTGGCAGCAGAGCCAAAGCCAGCCCGCTGTCCTCTATCTCACCTTGGGACACCCAGAAGGTGCATTGTTTGCTACACTCACTGACACCAAGCACTGTGCCAAACCTCTCTGGAGCCACACTCTGGGACCTCTGGGATCATCTTGCGCCCCATTCCAAGAAGGGGAGACAGTGAGGGGGAAGAGAGAGGGAGAGAGAGAAAGGGAGATTAAGTCTGTTTGCTTTCTTTCTGGCACAGTAATGGGTGCAGGGAGACTGGGGCTTCATCCCTGTATCCCATCCAGACCCCCTACCCAGTCCTGAGTATCCACCCCCAGCCAGTCCATGCTTAACTTCAGGGTTTGTTGGGTAACGAAGGCCTTTTTAACCCTCTCTACCTCCTCTTGGGCCTCCCCAAAGCATTGAGCACACATTCTCCTTAGTCCCTGACCAGTCTCTTCTGTCATGTCCCTGACTCATTAATAGAGAAAGAATTTGAAACAGAACCACTATACTGCTTTTTAAAAACCAAATTCTTGAACTTGGAATACTTTATGTAGCTCAAATGGGGGAAACAGGCATGGGGCAGGGAGGAAACAGCATATGACCTGTACCCAGTGGGGATAGGAGAGATCAAAGTCCAGCCCTTGCCTGGCTCTCAGAAGTTTGCACCAGAAAGAGCAAGGAGCAGAGGAAGACAGGGCTCTGTCTGGGAGCTTGCTGCTTTGGCTGCCAACCTTGGAGGTGGACAGAGCAGACACACACAAGGAATTTCAGAAATCTGCTGGACTCAAGACTGGAGTAACTACATGAGGATACAGGCCTGTACCTCACACAAGCCTGGGACCCCAAGTGCCAGTCTGGCACCTTGGCAAACTCTCATTTCCTGGGTCACCAAAGAGGGGAGGGGGGCCAGGGATTTAGCCCAGTGGTTCCAGCGCCTGCCTTGCAAGCACAAGGTCCCAAGTTCCATCCCTGGTACCAAAAAAAAAAAAGAGGGGAGGGAGCATCTGTCTTTTCCTTCTCTCCCCTGGGGGGAAGACTGAATAGGTACTTGTGGGAGGGAGGCCGGATGCCCTGGGCAGAAAAGGGGAGAAGCCCAAGATGGAGATCCTCTGAGTATGGGGAATAGAGCCCAGGGCCTCACACATGCCAGGCAAGCTGTGCCACTGAACTCCACTCCAGTTCTGGGGAGTTTTTGTCCTAAACTGAGGGGTTGTCTTCAGGACAGATCAAGAGTGTCACAAATACTATTAAACTGTGAAGTACTCACAAACAAACTAAGTCCCCCCCCCCCATCAGCCTGTTTGCTTTGGAAGTGCCCTCATTACTCTAGCAAGCCTGGGGTGTGGCAGACCCATCCTGGAAGCCTTTCCTTTGATAACCAGGAACCACCACCACTACCCTCACCCCACCCCCCACCCCCGCCAGAACAGGGACCAACAGCTCTTGGAGAGTCCCTCTGCACAGCCAGCAAACAGAGCAGCTGGACCTTTGCCACGGTCCTGTGACCTCTTCCGTGGTGAGTTTCTCCAGCGCTCTCCACCCTAGGGGGACTACGGGCCCCCAAAACAGGGCCTGCCCTTGTCTGACTAAAGGCAACCAGATCTGCTGCAGCTGCTGGGTAAGGGAACAAGCTCGCACAGGGACCAGGGAAGCAGCTGGAGAAAGATTCCTGCCAGCCCGGGGGTGTAAATATTTATACAGTGTGGTGCGTGGGAAGAGGCAAGGCGGGAGAAGGGGCAGGAAGGCAGAGCCACAGACACTGCCACGGACAGATTGAAGGAGCCTGCACTATGGGCTCAGCTAAAAGCGAGGTGCTGTGGGATGGAGTGAGAGGCTGCCAGGATCCTAATCCTCACCTGCATTCCTACATCAAAGAGCCTGCACTCTGGCCCCAGCTATCCTGCCCCTGTGAGAAACAATCAGCAGAAAATACATCTCCTCTCCTCTAGTCAGTCCTTCTGTTGAATCTGTGCTATGATATTTTATACCGATGTAAATTTATTTGACGGGTACAGGGAAGGAGGCTGTGCCTTGAATGAGACATATACCAAGTCCACAGGGCCAGGACCTAGGACCTGGGGACTCCTGAGGCTTATGGTTGTAGTGTCCTTAAAGATTTATCAGACCCCAAGAGATGGAATCCAGAGATGATGGCTTAAAAAATATAAGCAAAATATAAAATACAAGCAAATTTATCTTTTAAGCTTTTTAAACAATAGTACTTTCTAAAGTGGCAGAGAACATTATACACGGATGATGATGATGATGATGAGCACATGAGATCTGGAAAGAGTGTGCCATGGAAGTGGCCCTCAGTGGCACTTCCTGAGAGCACATATCCGGCATCACCACAGGGTAATCCAGCGGTGCCCAGTGGATGCTCCCCTAATACAGCTCAGCAACAAGTGTGCCTAGGCCAAGCTCTGACCCCGCCGCCCCCTGGGCTGGGCCTGCTGAGGACTCAGCCAGGGCCCAATGCATTGACTTCCCCAGGAGGGAAGCCAACCTGGGCTGGTGTGGACAGCCAGATGGACTCCAGTCGATTTGCCTCGGACAGCTGGGGAACAGGGCCCAGGCCACTCCCCCGCCGCTCCAGACAAGGAGGAGTGCAGTTTTAACTTCTAGGGTTTCTCTGTTCCAGCACCCGTCAAGACATACCACCTGTCCCCATCAGTACCAGGCGTGACCCTCAGGGCCTCCTGCAGGTGGGGTTTGTGTTGCTCCCCAGTGGCCAGCACCTTAGAGATACCCTACAGGTACCAGCCTGTTCTAGCATTCCCCCTGCACGACAATGGCCATTGGCCAAGGGTTGGGTCTTTGGGAAGAAAGGACTGTTTACTGGAGGATAGCTGCTGTGTCCACAGAAGATAGATCTGTATGCTAGGCCAACTTCCACGTCAGAGAAAGGATCAAAGGATACCCAGACTACCCCAAGAAGCAGGTCGCGTGCTGCCACTCTCCCCTCACCCCAACCAGCAGCTCTGCAAGTGATGCATTCCCAGTGGCCTCTGCAAGCGCCCACCTTCCAGGGTAGGTGGTCACCCGCACCAACCCACCCAGAGGACAGATTCCACTGCCTCCCCAGCAGTGGGACTGGGGGCCACGCTGAGGAGGACAGGCCATCTGCCCATCCCCTCCCGAAGGAGCACCTCTTCCAGGGCACGGGCCTGGGAGGGGCATCTTCAGGCACCCAAGAACTCCTCTGCCATGGCTCTGCCTGCCGGCTGTGCCCTCCTCCCTGCCAGCACTGCTTAAACAGATGAACAAAAATAAAAGCCACGTGGCCCATGGAAAGCTGTAGGGAAGAGAACTGAAGCTGAAGAGGGGGGAGAAAGCAACACAAAGCTGTAAGAATGGGAGATTGATTCCTAACACCACAAAAGAAGGAAGGAAGGAAGAAAAGAAAATTAAGAGGAGAGAAATTTTAAAAACTGACAAATCATCTAGGAATCTGAATATAAAACAAGACAGGCCAAGAGTAAAAAATTATGCTAAGAAATTAGAAGGAGGTAAGGAGGGAATTGTGAATGATGAGTAAGAGGGAAAGGCAGTTATAAATATTCTAAAAGGAGAAAAGAATGTAAAAGCAAATACCTTCAGGGAAAAAAATGTTTTTAAGAGACCCAGGAGAAAAGAGGATGCAGCAATGACTTTGAAACAATGGCTCTGATCCTCAACCGGATCACTCAGTAATGTTCTGGATGCCTACAACTGAGTCTTAACACATTTTTGTGGATTTCAGACTCTTCCAAACATTGAGCAAGGATTGCTTTAGAAAAGTAAGCTCCTTTCTTGCCTTTGTTCTTCTTACAATTCTGCCAGGTCACTGCCACCATTAGAATTTGCAGAGTGAAGACTAGTCTTCTGGGACAAGGCCAAAACCAGTCCTTGTCACCCCAGAATGTGGCAGCTTCCATCATGCCACCCTGTGGAGGCCTCACTGGAGACCAGGAAGACCCCTGTGCCTGAAGAAGTATCGGGAGTGCTAGGGCTGTGTGATCAGCTTGCATCTTCCAAGGAGAGGTCTGTCCCAGCAGCCTCTCTGTACACAAGGCTGACCTAACCTACAGACCCCCACACCTGGAAAAGCAGGGGCTCATGAGGGACTGAAACAACTTAGAGGATTTAAATGAATTTCCAGGCACTCCCAAGGGACCTAAGATAGCTCATTTTCCCCTTGCTGTGGT